GTGCTGGAGATTGTTTTGCAAGTGGCTTCATCAACGGAATGTTAGCAGGACAAAGGCAATCCTCTTGTATAAAACTGGGATTTGAAGCAGCCAAAAGTGCATTAATGTGTAATAATACCGTACCAAAACATTTTCTTCAAGATTATACAAATAAAAAGAATTATTACACAAAGTTGGACATGAACTCTTTTAATAGTACAAAAATATACAAATAGCTTGTTAGTATTACAGTCAGCGCGTACTTGTAAATTATTATCGACCTAATTTAGTCATTTAGTGTTTACACTATTCAAAAGTTTATACATAATTTTGATTTTTTAATGTAACTGTTCGATGTTGTTTTCATCTAAAGAAAATATTACTAGAAAAAATTCCACGCGGACTAGGCAGCAGACGGGACTCGATCCTTCGCTATCCGGGCGAATGCACTGACCATTATGCTACTGCGGCCCTGATGGCCGTGTCGAATTCTTTCTAGCCTTTCTTATGCTGCAAAGCAACGTCATCTCTTCGCATTGTAGATAACCTACAATGTCAAATGAATACATTTACAAGTATTAAACATTTAAAAGAAGAAATAGCAATTAAAGTTTATAATTATTCAAACGTTTCAAATCATATCGTACCTTTTTGTACCTACCAAATACTATACTGCCCTATGGCAGCATAGAGCAACACTGCCAACTCATCAGGTTCAAGTTTGTACTGACGAACAAACAAATATGCTATAAACTTTATTAGATACACATTAAACATATAATGTACATTGTTTGGGTTTCGTCAATGTCTTAATAAATTAGGGCTACATTTTTAAAAAAGGATGTTCTCAGTTTGACCTGTATGTTATAGTCTGCGATTATCTCAAAAAATCCTGATCCCATTTGGCTGGGGTTTTCGGTGTATACCAGAGACCCACGGTTGCACCCGCGTAGATCGATAGGAAGATCGCGCTTACGCGTAAAATTTCCAACCAATAGCGTATTCCTTATATTATTATTAGTGTTTACTATAAATTGGAACTACAAGTCACGTCAAGTCAAGTAAGTCAAGATATTGGAACCAAAATTTATTTTTTGCTCCGTATTTTATATTTTTGCAATAAATTAAAATAAATTTTTGACATGCAATGCAATAGCAACCAAAATATCAAAAAATACGATTTCATCGAGCTTTAGAAGTTACCGTAAATATACCGCAATCTTGTAAATAAAAAAAAATCGAAAAAAAAATCGCTTTTTTTAGGGTCGCGTACCTCAAAAGGAAAAAACGGAACCCTTATTGGAAAACTTTGTTGTCCGTCCGTCCGTCGGTCAAGACAGTTTTTCTCAGGAACGTGTGAGAGGTATCAAACTGAAATTCATATCTAATACTCATGTCTAATGTCCCTTGGAGCTGTAAAGAAATCAAACTTCTAAGCCATTCAAAAGATATAGCCGTTTATGCCGCAAATTTTCGACTCGCACGGGAATCAAAACCTATAGGGTATTTTCCGTGAACTTAGATCTTGAAAATTAGTACGAAGTAACGTCTTATAGTACAGATAAAGGAATTGCGAAAACCGTAAATTTTTAGTTTCATCATATAATAAAAAATATTTTTGATAATTTTAAAGTTACTACCTCTTTTCTCATAAACGCGTAGAGGTTTTAAATTGAGTTTGTACGGAAGCACTGTAGCACTTGGTTGGTTTTTTTTAATTACAAAATGACATGTTGTTACTTAGTCGAGCAATATCATAACAACATGTAATTTCTTTCTGTTTTATAATCAAGCTGCACTACTAGACATGACGATAAGCTAGTGAGCTATTATAGGTGAGAAAAGGCTGTATTGTTAAAAATTAAAGGAACATTTTTCATTTCTTCACTACTATCAGTACTTTCTTGTATTATTTCTGATACAGTATTATAGTGACTACACCAAAATTTGATACTTTGGTAATTTGATTAAATACGCCTACATAGAGGAATCCAAATAAACCACGCAAAGAAAATGGCTCATGTTACGCGCAATATCAGATTCTTTGAAAACATGTGAAGCAAGGAGCATATCGTCGTTGCGACTTTAAGACCTCCCATGTGTAAAATTCTTCAATGCGAGACATTCAATAAAAACTGTCTACTGAAAAAAATATAAGGAAACTAAATATAACAAAAAATACAAGTGATAACTAGAGGGTTTTATGATTTTTATTTTGTTCTTGTAATTTTAAATAATAAACGAAATTGTAGTAAAAAAAATAAAAAACAATTCAATGTGACACATAAGAGGTTTTGGTTGCGGGTTTTGTATCACATCAGAGAATATAAGTATGTAAAAGGGATTGAGATTCAAAACACATGACTTTCAATTATACAAGTTATTTGTTTTTAAAATTTATCATTGCAATGACAATAGTATATAATAGTGGTTTTATGTAAGCTCAATAGTGGAGTGAACACTGTCCACCTCTCATCATCCTTTTTTATGTTTAATAGGCAAGGCGTTTGACCAAAATCTCGCCTGATGGAAAGCGATGATGAGGCTTAGGATGGTACACGCCTGCCTAGAAGATGCCTGTTCACTCTGGCCTTGAAGATGTCCAGATTATATTGGTCCGGGAAAACAGACCTCGGTAAGGAGATTCACTCCCTAGCCGTTCGCATAATGAAAGCTGAAGTAAATCGCTTGGTGCAAATGGGAGGAACTTGGACAACATAAGGGTGAAAGCCCTCGCCGCACGGAGATGTTTCGGAAAGTCGGAGTCAGATGGAATGGACTTCGTTTCGCCGAGAAGAGACAGGCCTGTGTTTTAGAGGGATTGAATCCAACCAAGTTGGCTTCACCCCAGAGAGAAACAGCTTCCAGGGTGGCATCACTCCCTCCACCATCGCCTCCCTTAAAGATCGGACGTCTGCATCAGACTTCACATCGGGCAGGTATCTCTCCGAGACTGTGCTGTTGTCTGCATACCCAAAGATACCGGGAGTAAGGAGCAGATCATTGATGCCCTTTCTCTAAATAGTTGTTCAATATTCAATTGCCTTCGATGTGCCAAAACACTTAGGGCAGTCGACGAAATTCGGTTTCTGTTCTACAAACATAAAAATAATAATACACTCAATAGTAGTTGGTAAATTTTGACAATGGTCTATTAATCAAGATGTAAATTCATTAGCAGTTACATTACCGTCTGCTTCGTGCCAGCAGTAAATTGATACATTTTAAGATAAAACATCATAAACAGTGAAATTATGACATTGTAACTTCAATTTATAGAACAGGGCACTTGCCAATAGCTTTGGAGCAAGCAATACACTTTGCACATCGACTTTTATAACCACAGAGCGAGAACCCGTCGGAGCTAACGTAATTTTTATATTACTACCGCCATCTAACACCTACAATCGGAAAATAATCACGCGATCTGTGCATCCCTCTCATTCTAGTGCTTCTATTAGTTAGTTATTTTGAAAATTTGACCAATAAAAATTTTTACCTATCCAGCGCTTTTACACATAAGATATTTTAAATGCCAACTTTACTTGAGCAAGCGCTTAGGATATATTGAATAAAGTAAATAAATAGAAATTGAAAAGACTTATTCACACGAGTTTATGCTTTCGATGCAGCGCCAAAATTTGAAACAAACCCGTATAAAAAAGGTATTTCGACAAAAATGACACATAGGAGGTCTTGAAGTCGCAACGACGATATACAGGGCGTCCCACGGGTACCTCACACGGAGGGAAAGTATATTAAATATTGAACATAGAATATTTTACCGAAAGAAGACATCATTTTATTGAAGTTATACTTCTTTAGGCGCGTTATGAAAAAATGATGAGAGTGAAATTTTAAGATGCGCGCGCATCACTGTCACACAAAATTTTAACAGCATGAAGTTGGTCGCTTTAGCCAACTTCATGCTGTTACTTTTGCGTTTACCGCACATTAAGAAAATGTACCAACAAAATAGAAATAGAATCTCTATTTAGTGGGTGCTAACGACTGCATCTATCTATATACAAAGTTACTCTATTGACTGCATTGTGAAGGCCTATCAAAAGTATTTATTAATCTGGAACAACGGAACCAAAGCGCGATTCAGGAGACTACAGCGCCATCTCTTGACCATTGGTGTAGTAGAACCAAAAACCACATCTTTATTTTTTGTAATAAAGTAACAGTTACAGGTATTCATATTTATAATATTTATCCACATGTTTCTAGTTTGTATATTCGGAATACGTGTTTGAGTTTCATACAAGCGCAAATCACATATGTTCTAATAAATTATATTCAGTAGCGATTTTAATTGAATATTTTGATTATTTATTTATTTTTTCAAATTAAAACAACTTTATAGACTGTGTCCTTTTCCAGACTTTTTATTAATTTATTGTAATTAATTATTTGCATACAATTAAAAACTAATTTTAAACGATGCCAAAGAAGGATAACTTCTCACGCGCCTACATAAGTACACGCACCCATTTTTTTTAATTATAACTAGAACTGCATTCACAGTTTTTTTTAAAATTGCCTGCTAAAACGGGGAATCAAACTCGTGAAATTTCGAAAAAAAAAAACACGACATGTTTTATGATAACCATCGAGAGTTAATTATAGCAATTATTTTTTGCTAAATAACATAGCGTTTTAAATGAAAGAAAAGTCATAAAATTACACATTTTATTAAAAAATATTCAACAAAAAGTAATAAAAAACGAAACGGTGCAAGAAAAAATAATAATTTAATGTAATAAATGTTCAAAAATGTGATCCGATTTGTTGTATGCAAATTTTCACTCTATTAATGTTTTCTCTGCCTGTCGATTTCATTATCTTCGCGTGGTGAATGTTTGTAATAATACGTCTGAGTTAATTTTGTAACTCCTGCACACTGTCTTACCGGTTCTTGTATACTACTTGTTTTACATAACCCCTCAAAAAAAACCAGTGGGGTCTGGGGATCTCGCTGGCCATCTTATTTGTCCATAAGAACCGATCCCGGAAGGAAAGTGTTCATTAAGTAACTCGGCAGTTCTCCTACTGTTATGAGCCCCATTTTGCTAGAAAATGAGATTTCGTCGATTTGCACCAGGAAGATTATTGATCTCACCTCTTAAAATACTAAATATTTCTAGATATCTTTCCGTATTTAGATCCCCTTTGTAAAAATGTATTAAGAGAACCCGGTTTTTAACTAAAATGAAAAACACAGAAAAAAAGAAAGTACCTTAGCACAAACCAATATCGCGAATTCGAATAGTTTTCGAGTGCGAAATGTCATTGTCAAATGTGTACTGATTTTTAGTTCTCATTACGTACTTTGTGGCGCTACTGTATAAGTTTCCATACAAAATTTGACATTGACATTTCACACTCGCAAACTATTCGAATTCGATATTGGTTCGTGTTAGGGGTACAGACGCTTGAAAATGTATGTGTTATGGTTAACATAAAATATGTCGTTTTTTTTTCGAAATTTCACGAGTTTGATTCCCAGTTGTACCAGACGATTTTTAAAAAAATTGTGAATGCAGTTCTAGTTATTATTAAAAATGAAATGATGTCTTCTTTCAGTAAAATATCCTATCTTTAAAATTTAATATACTTTCCCTCCATGTGAGGTAGCCGCGGAACGCCCTGTATACTATAAGATTTTTTTGCAGCGCTTCCGTGCAGTTAATACGGTATCTATATCTAGGTGTGTATAATCAAAACTTGGGTATGTGAATTTATTAAAAAAAATTAAGACAAATACATCAGTATTGTAAATTCTTAAAAAAATAATAATATATTCACTTAAAATTCCATGTACACAACTACGATAAAGTATAACAAGATTAATAAGAATGATATCCTGTTGACAAGTTAAAGACTATTCTTATAAAATAAGTATCTTTTGAGATTTGTTTAATTTATCTATAGAATAATCTTACAAGCTCATTAAAGCAACACATGGACGGATTAAAATTTGTGTACAAGTCAAAAAAAATCAAATATCTGTGTGTCCACCTGAGTAGCCCATTTTTCTCTCATGCATTGTGTAAGATGATGGATCACGACTCTGCATTTCATGCAACCGTTTGTATTTTTGTACTCTTGCTTCAACTAAGAAGAGAATACCAGCAGGAAACAAGAATATCACTCCTATTACTCCAAGAGCAAATGCCCAACCCAGATCATTATGCTCCCAATTTGGCATCCAGTCTCGTCCATCCCCTCTTGCTCCAAATGTCACAACAGATATCAATCCAGAAAACCCTACAATATAAAAGAATATTACTAAATATGTATGTTTATACTCATAATTCATGAAACTATAGACACAGGACTTATTATACCTCCAATTACTAATACAGTTCCCAGAGTTACCAACAATGTAACATAGTTATCATCATCTCTTTCTTTCCTTATATAAATAAATGACAGGAACATGGAAACCAAGACGCAACACAGTGAAATGGTGAAGAAAAACTGTGTAGCAATGAAGAAGCTAGGCAAAAGAATGTCATGTATTATGTAATATTCCTCTTCAAATATCCACCAACATCCTGAGAATATTGTATCATACCAATGATGAACTTCTTCAAATCCATTGAAACATACTTCCCACAGACCTATAACAACAACATATTTTATTACTTGAAATAAAGACAAATAATTCACTATCAGATCTGCCCCCATGGGTTTAGCTATGAACTGGGTTGCAAATTTAATTTCAGCAGTGAAAAGGAAACTACCTGTAATAGTGCTAGCGGTACATCAAAAAATTGAGCACTTGATATTAAAAGCATGAAAATTAGAAATGATTAATATTTAGGCCATACAATACATTATTTTTGGTGCTACAGCTCAAATTCATTTATTAATTAGATCCTTAAGATCAAACATACTGATTTTCATATCAAGTGCAGCATTTTACTGAATTTGGAGGTGTACCACTAACACTATAAAGAATTATCATCTATGGTTGTTTTTTCTGATATATTGTCATTATGATTTCAATGTATTAAGTTTAGGAGTGCCATCCTTACGGATTTGTACAAGTTGATACAGCGTACAGTAGAATTCTTAAAGTGTAGGTACTCTTTTAGTCAGGGGAAAGAGAAGCTTTTGTAGTTTTATTAGTTTTTTTTTTAAGAAAATGTAATACATAGGAAATAAACAATGTAAACTACATTTGTAGTTGATTCAATGAAATGTCTCTTTAAGGTTTACTCATACTAATTTTTTGTAAGGCCTTGGCAATTGAGGCGATGGCAGCCCTAGCCAAAAAGTTATGTAGTTTTAAATGGGATAAGTTAATAAGTACTTACCGATTTTAATAAACTTGGGGTTATTTAGTTTTCCATCTGTTACTAACCAATAAGGACTCACAAATGCAATTATTATAAATATAGAAGAAAATATGTAAAAACTTAGAGCAAACAAGCCCGTCTTTGATTTATTCATAATGTAGTACCTATTTTCGAAATCCGTTATATTTCAGTTTCGTAAGATAATCGAAACAATTACAACTCCAATCGAACCAAATTGACTGAAGAAAAATACAGCCAAGTCCAAATAGAACTATTACTAAAAAATCCTAACAAAACAAAGCCGCACCCACAGATTACTATGAATGAATACTATACTATGATGCCGCGCCAGTTTTTTTTATTTTTTTTTATTAGCAAATGACATAGCCAGGATACAAGTCCATAAAGCCGAACACATAGTACAAATACAAACTTAAATAAAATACAAACGTGAGATGCGTGACACAGATTACTGACAACTTAAATTTTGACAATGACATTGACAGCGATAGAAGGATAGAAACAAGAAGCTTATACACGATAGAAACAATAGAAAGTAAACAATGGAATAAAAATAACCTAAAGAAAAACAAATAACATATTCGTTTTGTCTTATTCTATATCTTATCTACAGTATTTACAATATATTTATAAATTGGTTTAAAATAGCATGGGTTGGAGAGAAAATCTTCAATGCGGCGGGGAAAACAATTGCTCTGGTCTTCTGATTGAATATCTTGCAACTCGCAAATTAGTAGTAGACGCTGGATGTTAAATTCAGGACATGAGAAAATTACGTGATTTATGTCTGCATGCGGAGTCTGGCAATATCTGCATTTGTCGTTCGACAAAATTTTAAGCCTATGCAAGTGAGTTGGAACCAAACAGTGTCCAAAGCGCAGCCTGTTAATAGTTGTAATAAATTTTCTCGACTCACATATTGCTTTATTATACCATGGCTTGTTTGGCAAACTTTTCTGTATTGTTGCGTACCATTTCCCTTTAGAATTGTTCCAGTGGTTCCAATAGTTAATCCACAAATGTTTAATTTCATCTTTCATTGATGTTAAGTGATCTGTCCGCGCCACAGAACAGAACAGACTTGCCAGGTTTCAATTTCAATTTAACCCTTTACACGGTCTCAGTTTACCATAGATTACGAAAAAAAAATAAAAAATACCTCAATTTATTTTCATATATATACGAACAAAATCGCGGTTAAGTAGTTTGTATGCAATATTTGAGGAAAGAGTTATTGACATGAAAAAGAGCTCGTTCGACTACGCTTGTAAAAGTTAAGCAACATTCACTATGGTCACTCATTTGATGGGTGAGTAAAAATTTGGCACTAGCTCGAACTCTTCTTTGCTAGGCTTATGTCCTGGCTCCGAATGAAGTTGTGTGCGGATCTATCTGTATCTGATCCCTGTGCCATAGAAGCTTCTTATAAAAAGACAGTCATCATCAAATTGCATTACTTTTTCACTTAAAAGGTAGATATTAAACTAAATGTTACTTACGTAATAAAGAAGCGCCTAGAAAAAAAAGCACAAATCTTATTACAAAATATTTTCCATGACAGACCTGTATTTCTTTAACTTGAAATAACATTGATTATATACAGTCATGTATATATCCAATAATCAAATCAATTGTAATAAAATACTTTAAACAAGTGTGAAGTGATATAATTTTTACATAATTCTTGACATTTCAGATTCTTTACAGGTATCAATCGAGCACGGTGAAATCGAACGAACTTTAAAAACACATGTTGAAAATATTAAGCGAAGAGGAACTTCTCAATATTTTATACTTTGATTTGAAGCTTTCAATTTACACCGAAAAATACCCTACACAATTTTTTTACTGTAAAAATTACGCAACTTAAACTGACATTTGGCTGACGATTTAGGTTATCAACCAGTCATAGCCAAAGCTCTATAAACGAAAAAAATATCAAACAATACTAATTAACAATATTTGTAATTGTTTGTTTACAAATGTTTGGTTTTTATTCTAGAATATGATGAGGGCTAAAAAAGGGTTCTAAGATTTTTTTGCAAACCGTACTTTTCAAGCGACATTTGACAGATGGAGGTCATTGGCTTTCTCTATTCTTATTTGAATCCCACTATACACTGATATGCTTACCTATTACATCCACGTTATACAGCAGAATTAATTACCGTAAAAAAGGAAATACTGGGTGAAGAATTGGCAAAGAAAGAAATGTATTGTAAATAAGTAATGTTTATGTTATTAGAAAAAAATCCACGCGGACCTGGCAGCAGACGGGACTCGAACCCGCACCCTTCACTATCCGGGCGAATGCACTGATCAATTATGCTACCGCGGCCCTGACAGCCGTATCGAATTCTTTCTAGCCTTTCTTAAGCTGCAAGGCAGCGCCATCTCTTCGCATTATATGTAACCCACAATGTCAAATGAATACCTTTACAAGAATTAAACATTTAAAAGAAGACATAGCATTTAAAGTCATAATTTTAATTTTTTAATCATGTAACTCAACGATTGTGTAACTGCTCAATGTTTGAATCTAAAGAAAATATTAAAAAAAAAACTATTTCTATTTTTCTAGAAATATTTTCATTAGATTTAAACATCGAGCAGTCACATACTTAAAAAATGAAAATTAATTAAATAAATATAAATAATGTTTGTTTTTTTTATCCCACATGTGGGGTCGGTCTTTATATACTTCGATCACTCGTGTCCAAACTTCATGCTCATTATGATCTGCAGCCATCTTGATCAAAAAACGTGCACTGCGTGTGACAGCTACTAACCGACTGATTGAGAAATTGCCCCAATCACGCTACACACGCGGCTACGTGCAGGGCGGTTGGGACAATCTAGGGAGCAAGGGTGGTCGCGCGAATTAAATAATAAGAACGAGTTTTAACTAAAAAAATGATTTATTTCTACAATTGGGCAGCCTTACACTACTACAATGAATTCAATCTTAATTAACTTAAACATGAGTATATATACTATAATAAATGCTGAGGTGTCTATAACTAACTAGATCATTAAAGCGTATTGGCTTGGGGCTGACGGCCCTAACACCTCCCTCCCCTAGTGAGGAATTTCCTACGGGCAACACTGTTGTCCTTTGAAAATTTCTTTTATAATACATAATATAAACAAAAAATATCGCTATGTAAATACTTATTGTCCATATACTAATTTGGGTGGTTATACCAAACATGTTTTCTACACTATAGTCATTTTCCACATCACTAATTTGGTTCATCACTGCACTAATGTCTCTGAGATCCACGTTACGAAGGTTGACCGGTGTCCATCTTGACAGCTCTTCGTTTGTAGTCATACTTGGCAGTTGAATTTGCGGTGTGTTGGTTATTGCGACCGAAGATGTGTTGGTGAGCGGCGATATTATTGATCCTCCTATTTCAATATCACAGTCGTTATTTCGTGACAAAATGTATGTTCCACGTAGTTTTTGTTTGTTTATTTCGTTATGGCACCTCTCAGTTGCTATGGTGTCGACCTTGAAAAACAGCATCCATTGATCTTCGGTGATGGGTTGGATTCTTGTATTCTCTATTTGGACTTCACGCTGTCGGCAGGCACTGAAATTACTTTTTAGCAGCATTAAAATTGTTCGATGCGGAGTTCGTCTGTAAATTCGACAATTTCTTGATCACTGCAGAGATATCTGCCTCGTTCTATTTCCTCACAGGGTTTCGCTACGGGAATGTATTTCATTCTCCTCACAATAAGGTATGGGTATTGTGGGATGATGACGTGGGTTATATTATTTGTAGGATTATTGATGGGGATAGGCATAACCTTATAATAAATATATGTGTTATTATCTACTAAGGGTATTTCGAGAATAAAAACTAACTTTTTATAATCCATATAAGATTTCATAATAGGCTAGTTGACCCTTTTTGGAAAAATGTTATAAATGGTTAATAAATGTTCTATTAGACCGAAAAAAATGTATTGTATTTTTTTGAGACCTAGAAAGCTACAAATCTTTAATTTTAAAATAGACTTTTCATGGACATACAAAAACGCTGTCGGCCATTTTAGTCTATAGATTATCTATGCTATGACGTCGACGGTAGTAAACAAAAACTCGTAAGCACGTAGAAAATAACCTATCTGAGTTTATAATAAAAAAGAAAACATGATTTCTAATAAATACCACGAAAAATAAAGTAATAATCATTATTGTATTGTACGAGAATGTAAAAACACATCCTTGAAAACTCCAGGAAAGATGTGGATTAAAGTGCCGAAATAAATTAACCTACGCTGGTTAGAACTTGCTAAAAGTGATCCTGCAACTTTATCGACTCATAGTAAAATTTATTTTTGCGAAGATCACTTTGATGTAAGTACTCATTGAATATAATATTTTAAGTCTCTTCATTTATTATCAATTTTAATAATTCAAGTTTTAAAGTTATGTATGAATGACATTTAGTTGTTTACTAAAAGAGACGTCACAATCATGGCGGATGTGGCGAACAGCGTTTTTAGTGTTTAAAAAGTATAGACTAGAAATTATTTTCTTAAATTAAATTTCTACAGCAATCTTCTGCTTTTATGAAGTGAAATCGATATATTTAGGTTCCTTAGACCAAAAACTTTAAGAAATAAACATTTATTTAATACAATTCGACATGAGTCAACTAGCCTATTATGTTTTGCTCTAAATTAATTAAGTTGTTATAATTTACTTTATATAAAATATTTGCGTGTTTTTCTACTTCCATCAAAATGTTAACTAGTGTAATGTATTGAGCTTACTAAAGGCAATTGCTGTTTCTACTTCGTAGTTAACTTGATAGATTGTACGAAAGTTGTTTAGAATTTGGTACATACTATTCATTAATCTGAATGAGCTAAAAATAACAGTTTGGTTATTTATAAAAGATCCTAAACGATTATTATTAAAATTAATATGATTATCGTTAAGGTTAATGTCACTTGATAATGTTAATCAATTTTTCTACGGCAACTTTCATAAGTGATATCTTATTTTCTACGGAATGTTCCCTATTTTTAAGGTTACTTATCTCCTGATTATATTTTATAGAGTCTTCGTTATCTAAATTACCTGAAATTATCTTAATAAGAGAACCTAATGGGTTCAGTAAGCCACGTTTTACTCTATACCTTGGTAAGATTTGTGCTAAACTATCTTTTGTTAAATTAAGTATGGACTCTACTTGTACCGTTAATCCTCATAATTCCCTACGGGTCTCAGTTTCCTTAAATACTAGTGTTTTAATCTTATGATACTCTATTATATTACGTTCTAACTAATTTTCTAATAATTCTAAGTCTAAAGTCTTAATGATACTCCAGTGGACAATATTCTTCGTCGCTGTACCAATCCGAATGGGAGCTATACCTGGATTCGGGTCTAGTCTCTGTAGGTTCAGGCCGTGTGCCTGATGAGTTAGGGTTAACACCATCGCGAACAACCTGCGAAATATATTTCTACTATTTTCGCCTACAACTTGGGCTTCGTCATATCGGGGTAAGTCCTTAGCTTTTCTTATTCTGGTATTTTTATAAAAAAAATTGTCGCCTACGTTTATTTGTTGTGGCTCTTCGCCTCCCTTTTTAGTTCTAACCTGTACCTTGTCGGTTTCTAATTTCCCCTTAATAAATTCGTAGAGAACCTTCAATCTTTTTCTATGATCCTGGACTAAAATTTGTAGAAGATTGAAGTCTCTATTTGTGTCAAACACGTTACCTGATTCGGTATGACCGAATGCTATTTCGAACGGTGTGAAGTTTGTCGCGGTATGAATTGCGTTATTATAAGCCATTATCACGTATGTCATAACAGAGCAAGCATCTTGTTCGTTGCTTTCATACTTTGCGATGCGGTAGATCTCTATAATAGTCGAATGAAACCTTTCTACTATGGCCATTGAAGTGGGGTTATTTGGTGTTCCTATATGGATATCAATTTTGTAAAAGTTCAATAGTTCCTTTAAAAGATCATTGTTAAATTCAGCTCCGGAGTCGCTATTTATCTTTCTAGGTAAACCGTACATGCTAAGATATTTTATTAGAGCTCTAACTACCTCGGGTGTGCTTCGA